CGACGGAGGTTAGGGCCTGTGGTCGAGCAGGTGGTAAGGTAGGGTATGAAGGTAAAAAATGTAGGGACGCAGGAGGGAGAGAAATATACCTGTACCACGGCACGGGCGGTATATTCGGCTTGAGACCGGCGATTCACACCCCACCGGTGGGTGTCATTGAACGGTAGGAACCCCATCAAGCGTGAAACGACTTCCTGGGGTCCTGCAGAGACCAACGACATGGAAGAAGCAGGTTGGATGACGGGTCCTCCGGTGGAAGGTGTTTCGAGCTGAGTTCGTTTTGGCGAAGGAGGCGCATCAATATGACCAGTTGCTTCAGGGCGCGTACGCTTCTTTGAGTACTCGACCTCTTTGGACGAGCGGCTAGAAGTGCGCTCGACCTGGCGGTCGTTATGCCTTGGAGGAGAAGATGCTCGTTGTTTAGGGGGAAGAGACGCAGTGGTAGACTTCTCATTCCGGGAAGAACCTTCTTTGCTCGAAGAGGGGCCCCTTGGTTTCTCGGCGACCGCCGAGGTGTCTTTATTACTAGCTCTACTGCCGCCGGCCTTCTTAAGGTCAGGTTTGACCAGGAATCCCTCTGCGCGAACAAATGTTTATTCAGGAAGATAGTCAATGACATAAAACACAGTAGATATGATACAAATAATAATGACCCGCACACCTTCTCGAGCTGATTTATTAATGGCAGCGGTATTAGGGTCGACGCGGACGTTAAGGATAGTCTCGGCCAAAGGAGGAGAGAAGGTTTTGTGAGTAAGGAGGCCACAATAGTGAAGAAGGTTGTTATTTTCGAGCAGAGGAGTAGAAGCTACAGGGTTAGAGTTCCAGACTTGGATGCGACGGTCGAAGAGGGGGTTGGTCGAAGGACGAGTACGTTTAATGGGCACCTCTGTAAGCCAGGGGGTGGGTGCCCACGGATAGGGTTGAGGGGGAAGTACATATACAAACTCATCTTTCCACCTGGGGACGTTAGATGGTCGATCACTGATGAAGCAAGCGTTATTCCGGCTTTTCAAATACAAACCGTCAGCTTGTTTCGAAGCAAAATAGCAATAAACGAAAAAATCTAAATCTACTCTACCATACGGATTATCGACAAAATAATAAAACAGGCTAATGTCCTAAAGGCGTTAGGGGGAAGTTGGTTGAGAGGAAGGCCATATAAGCCACATAGGTCGATCAACGCCTGGCAGATAGGGAAGCGCAAGCCTAGGTCGAAGTGAGCCCGGAAGAAAGTGTAGTAACCATCGGGAGGGTTGTCGTAGGTATCGTCGTCACCAGGGGTGACGTAAGTCCCGGGGTGACCAACTAAATCAAAGTCGAGACGGGTTGTGCTCGAAGAGGACTTGGAAGACTTAGAGGATCGTGGCCGGGATCGCTTAGGTTGTTGAGCAGGAGAAGGGATGGTCGAGGCACCAGGCACACGGGAAGATAGAGGCACGAAATCTTGGGGATCACGAGCGGAAAGGGGGATATGGTCTTGGAGATCTTCTACCTCGACCTCGTCATCTTGACCAATGAGTCGGCGAGACGAGTTCGTGAGGGGAGAAGGGGGATGACCAAGGATCTCTTCAGCTGGCAGGTCGACAAAATAGGAGGAAGGAGATACAGCAGTCTCAGCGAAACCGTCGTCAAAATCGGAAGGTCGGATCATTGAGATGGGCTCAGGCTGGAGAATCTCTTCGACAGAATCGCTGGATAAACGGGGAGTTGCAGAAAGGGAAAGGGGACTCATGTCCTCTCCACTGTGCCGGTCATTCTCGCTCGAAGTGGCGGAATCTGGAGAAGAAGAAGAGAGAAGAAAACAAAATTAAAACCAAAATTGATAAAAGAAGCAGAAGAAGGAAGAGCGAGACATGGCACAGTGGGAAGGTAGAATAGAAGGATAGAACGCGAAGAGAAATGGGCGAGAAAAAGACGAACGGGAGGATGGAACTCAAAATTTAGTAAAAATAAAGCAGGAAAGAATTCAGAAAACTTACTCATGACGAATGAAGCTATGTTGCCTGGAAGTCGGAGATTTGGTGGTTGCAGGATGCTCGACGAATTACAGAAAAATCAGGATGCGGAAGTAGGGAAAGGGAAGAATGTAGGCAAAGGGTCGGTATTTATATTGAAGAGGTTTGGAACGGCGCGTCCTCGACCGCCCGATTAAGAAGTGTTAACGGCCACGATGAAGAGGGAGCCGAACAGACGCAAAAGCAGGAGCCGTAGGATTAAAGTGGGTGATCTAACGGTGAGAGAAGAAGAGACGCGGGGGACAGGGGCGAAGACCGAGGAAGCGCG